TGTCCGGATCGATGTCCGGTTTACTGGACGTCCGGATTAATCCAGACACGGGTCCGGGCCTGGTGTCCGGTGTCTGGATGTCCGGGTCCGGGGCAACCATGATATGTATATTTCTGGGCAGTTTTTTGGCCTGCCCGGTTTACCCGGGCCCAACCGGCCGGGCGGTGTCCTCACTCAGAAAATTTCAAAATATAATATTTGGAGTTTAATATGGAGGCGTCCGTGCATCCGGATCCCAAACCGTGGACTGCTGACCTTCTGAACACTGGTCTCGGTGCCCCGGTTCCCCGGTGGTAGCCATATGTACGATGTACTACAAATTTGATATTTATGTTGTTCCGCGCTTTTGGTGCAGGTGACGGTGAGTGTAAAGATAAGATAGAACACCCAGGTTGTGTATGGAATATCATCTATCTTCCGAATGGCGACCTTGTCACTGCTTGTGCCGATGGTGTGATTCGAGTGTGGACTCGTGACCTGCAGCGAGTAGCATCAGATGAGCAGATCCAAGCATACGAGCTGGCTTTGCAGGAAAGAAGAAGAGCAAAGTGAGTTCCAAATCTGCTTGTTTAATTGTTTCGACTATGGTTTATTTTGTATTCACATCAATAATGGCAGATCGAATTTCCTTACTGCAGCTTCTTGTGTGGCGGAGATGGGCACAGAGGCGGTTGGTTGGCAGCCAATTTCGATGCCAGAGAAGATGGGGGAAGGGGGTGAAGGTGGAAGGTGTGGCGGGTAGGAGGAGGATTGTCGTCACAAATTCATCATGCTTTTTTTCATGTTTGTCAAATGATTGTCGTCGTCGTCATGCTCGTCTTCGCGACCCGGTAGTTCATTTTTTGCTGCCAACCTGTCGCATAAAAAAAACTTTCACGATCGTCATGATTGTAGGTGGCTGAATGGACACGGGCTTATCATCAAATGTGCAATCCTGTTGTCTTCAAATCGCAATCGTCATTGCAAAGAGTCCATGAAAACTTCATCTCTCATGTTCTGGTCACAATGTCGGATACAGTGTTCACATTATGATAATCACCGATTATCTCGTAAGCTGCAACCCTCTGATGATGCCGGGTCAGCCGGCTGAAACCGCTAGGGGTGATGCCACCATCCTGTCTCCTGGTGAGTGTGACGTGGTTCTGGCGTGGGAGGATAGGGTGGCGTGCTCGGCCGTGCTCGGCTGTGACAGCAACTTTGCTATGCTGTGACTATTGCTGTCTTCTTTGTGTACATCTGAGTACTTGTGCATCCGTGTGTCTGGTTTCATGGTCTTTGATTTGCTCTCTCTATGGTGTTCGGATTTGTCATTGTCAGTGCTGTGCTTTTCATCTTTCGGAAAGACATTACGCTTTTGCGACATTCCATCTGTTGGCTTGCTTGACTGCTTGTTGTGTTATGTGCGTATTTAGTCTGTCCAAGATTCCATCTGACGCATTTTGGTCAGTTAATCTGCCGACTTTGTCTATATGCACTTCCAATCACCACATGAAGGTTTATGATCATCAGGGGTTAAGAAAATAAAAATAAAAATGTTTTCTGCCGTGACAGATCACATCGGCATTACACTTGTGCATATTCCTGTTGACTCGTACTCTCATCATGATGGTTGGGGTTCGTATGGTCACACGCAGAGCAGATTCAACGGCTTTGAAGTTAGAACAGCCATTCTGGTAACCAGTGCATCTAGCTGAATGGATGGTGGACACATGCAACTATCAGTAGACACAGATTATGAGTTCAAGTCGTGACCGAATCAGATCGATACAAAAATCTTAAGGGGTAACCCCTTTGTTAAAAAAAAGAAAGAAGGGACAACAGTCATTCTAGCATGCATACACATCATTGACTTAACTTTCTGGACGGATCCGTAACCGGGTCAAACCACACTGAATGCCAAAACCAAATCCAACCAAAACCAAAACAGAACGAAAACCAAAACCAAAACTAAAACCAAACGGAAACCACAACGAAACCAAACCCAACCAGAACTAGAGTCAAAAGCAAAGCAAACCAAAGGTAACCAAACCTCATCAAACAAAAACCAAAACAAGCCAAAACCACAACCGAAAACCCAACCCCAGAAAGTATAAACTCCAAACCCTAAACCCCAATCCCAAACCCAAACCCAAACCAACCTAACCTCAACCAGCCGAAATTCACACGAAACCCTACACAAAACCCAACCCAACGAAGCTTAACGCAGACCACCGCAAACCAAACTGAACTAAAACAAAAGACCGTGTACAGCAGGCTTACCTTTGATTTAGCGTCTCTGCTGTCCCTCCGCTCACGGAAATTGTGTTTTCATAATGAAGATGTGATTACCACATACTTCCCCCCTAATCTGTCGTTATCTTTGTTCGAATCTTTTATTAATGCTGCAGGACCGTGGGAGGACGGCCAGTTTCTGATTTACCGGGACCAGAGGAACTTGAACAACCAGGTAGGTTTGTTAGTCCCTGCAACCGTTCCTCTCGCTGCTGCATTTGCTTTTAAGATTATGAATGTCCCTGCCCTCCTTCACTCAATTCACTCAACTTCCACCCGTAGCAAACATATCGTTTGTCTGTAGATGGGTCAGGTCTTGATCTCTTCCCCTCGCTGAGCAATCACACGCTTTGTGTCTTGGAAAATGGCACAATCAATCTAGCTTGGGACCTTGACAGTTCAAAACCTGATGTGTGAAGTTAAAATTTCGCCGTAGAAGATGGGTATTCCAAGACTTGCTTAGCACTTGAAAGATGGGCTAACATTGAAAGTTAATCGAAACCATATGGGCTTGTCACAGGAAAGAAAAAGTCATAAGGCCTAATTCTCATAAACCCCTATAGAATCAGTGACTCATTAGAGCCCTACAGAACCAATGATTGCTTGACCCAGGCTGGTAAATAGACAGAGAAAACTTAAAACTGGGCAAACAGAGAAGAGGGAAAGGAGGAGGAAGCAAAGAGAGGGAGGGAGGGTGGGGGAGAGGAAGAAGAGCAAGGGGAGATGATAGGGGGACAAGGAGGAGGAGAGGGAAGAGGAGAAGATTGTGAGACTCCCTCATCCTTCACTCCGTTCATGAAATCAAAGAAAAGGACTTCCCTTCTACTTGAAGCTTAAAATTCATAATAGCATCCCCCATCTTCACGGTGTCAAGACTCCAGCTTCCAAAAGACAATAACTGACCAACTGACAACTACTGATGATGATGGTGATGACCCCCACGCCACACGGTGACCTGCCAAAAATAAGGCACACCCTCACAAGCAATGTACCGCTCCGCCACAGTGCACCTGGTGCCCTGCTGATTGTACCACTTGAATCACTGCCCCGCATTGCCAATGACTATACCATACTAACACCTGGCCTCCACGCGGTGCCGGCTGCTGCCGCTCGGTATCGCCAAGACATCGGTGATATGGCACCGAAAATACAACTCCACTGCATCTCCTCGCAGGTCAGCCCTGCTGCCCCCTCCACTCGCCACCTGCCACATGAGTGGCGATGGTGCGAAAGCCAAGGCGTAACGCCCCAGCCCAGCGAGCCAGCCGCGCTAACCTGCCCATACCCGTGTGGATGGTGCGAAAGCCGAGGCGTAACGCCCCAGCTCGGCGAGCCAGCCGCGGTAACCTGCAGCATGGGCGTCTGCTAGTAGGTTGCCGGGGCGACGTACCGTGGATCTGTTGCACCGCCAAGCTTAGTAGCTCGTGAAACACATGGTTTCCATCGGCATATGCATCTTGTCTCATTCTCCAGCTGCTATTTTTCTGGTTCTTTTTCACTGCTTCTTTGGTTGTATCTTGCCTGCAAGCTTTGCGTGCAATGATATTTCTTTTATGGAACCGAAGTGGGCTTCAGAATGGCAGCAACAGCTAAAGCGCAGAAATACAGTTAAACCACCAGTACACCTGAGCCTGGCGGCCTTCCACTTTGGCACTTTGCGCCAAGTTTTTCTTTTCTTTTTTTTGTTATAAAAAAATGCAAGCTGCCTTCTGCTCATATATGGGGGACAGCTGCATTTTTGACTATATAGCTAGGCCGTTTTCTCGGGCGCCCGGGCAGCCAAGATGTGCCCGGAAACATGCCCAGGTGACCGGCCGGGCATGACCCCCAGGCAGGGTCCCGAGCAGTCCCAGCGCATAAAAAAGAAAAAAAAAAAGGAAAAAAAAGAAAGAAAAAAAAAAAGAAAAAAAGAAGAAATCCAAAAAAATATGGCAAAAAAATATGTTGTGTAGAATTGTAATAAACAATTTTTGGCTGAGGTTCACATCAGAATTCCTCACGGAACTGAAGATAAAAAAGAAAATAACCGAATCACACCAAGGCACCCCCCTTCAAACCCCTGTAACGGTTTAACCCCTTTCAAAATAATTTATACCCCCCTTGCCCCCCCTTTAAAGCCAACATTCTAAAAAAGAAAATAGCCTGGATTTGGGCTGCTCTCCGAGACCGCGGAAAACCGCCACCGCCAAATTTTTTAATTTTATTCCTCGTGTCCGGGCGTCAGACCCCCCCGGGCATCATGCACGGGTGACCGGCCGGTCATGAAAATCTTAGTGAAAATCCACGGTACGTCGCCCCGATTAGTGCTTCTGCGTTCGCCAGATTAGTCCTGCGTTCGCCAGATTAGTGAAAAAGGAGAAATTGGAGGAACAGGCTTTTGTTGCCTATGTTAGGCCAGTGACTGAGCCTACGGAAGAAAAGTCGATGGACCCTGCGATTGCCAGCTGCTGGAAGAGTTCAAGCATCTAACTGAGCCGCCGATAGGAGTGGTACCGCGGCCCATCCAGCACCGCATTGAGATAGAGCCTGGCAGTAGAACTCCTAAGGGCGCCGTGTATAGGATGTCCCCACGAGCTTCGCAAGCAATTAGACGAGCTCCTCAAGAAGGGTTGGATTAGGCCCAGTTCGTCTCTTTTTGGAGTGCCTGTTCTCTTTGTTCCTAAGAAAGAGGGAGAGCTGAGGATGTGTATAGACTATAGGGATCTGAATGCTATTACAATAAAGAATGCTGAGCCACTGCCTAGGATAGACAATCTCTTAGATCGAGTGCAGGGGGCGAAGTATTTCTCTAAGATAGACTTAAAAGTCCGGATATCATCAGATAGAGGTACATCCTGATGATCAGTATAAGACAGCCTTCCGGACTAGGTACGGGCATTACGAGTTTATAGTGATGCCCTTTGGACTAACCAATGCGCCAACTACGTTCCAACGCTGTATGAACGATTTGTTTAGGCCATGGTTAGACAGATTTGTTGTAGTTTACCTAGATGACATTCTAGTGTTTAGCCGGACCCTCGAAGAGCATCAGGGTCGCCTCAGGCAGGTCTTGGAGAAGCTGAGGGAAGCTAACTTCAAGATCAATGCAAAGAAGTGTGATTGGGCAAAAACCCAAGTTTTGTACTTAGGCCACGTCTTAGACGGAGACAACGTTAAGCCAGAGGATAGCAAGATCGCAACGATTAGAGATTGGCCCACGTCACGTACGCTCACAGAGTTGCACTCGTTCCTGGGCTTAGCTAATTACTACCGGAAGTTCGTGAGGAACTTCTCGACCATCGCTGCGCCCCTTTGTAGATTCTTGAGAAAGGAGACCATCTGGAAGTGGGATAAGGACTGCACGTCTGCCATGAAGAAGTTAAAGCAAACATTGATAGAGTATCCAGTCCTTAAAGTCGCCGATCCGTCCTTGCCCTTTGTCGTCACGACCGATGCGAGTCAATACAGCATAGGCGCAGTGTTACAGCAAGACGATGGCAATGGGTATAGACCCGTAGAGTTCATGTCCGCGAGGATGCCTTCAGAGAAGGTCGTGACATCTACCTATGAGAGGGAACTCTACGCTCTTAGGCAAGCCTTAGACCACTGGAAGCACTACTTGCTTGGGAGGCACTTCAAAGTCTATTCAGACCATGAAACGTTACCATGGTTAAAGACGCAGGCCAAGATGACGCCTAAGCTTACTAGGTGGGCTGCAGAGATAGATCAGTACGACTTCGAGCTCAAGCCTGTCAAAGGGAAGTACAACGTGGTTGCGGATGCTCTGAGTAGAAGAGCTGATTACTTTGGGGCAATAGTACATTACCTCGATATAGGGAAGGATCTGCAGCAGAAGGTTAGAGAAGCCTACACGCAGGACCCTATCTACAGTGACCTCCTCAAAAGGTCAAGGAGGCCACAGAGACTGAACCGAACTAGCGCACTACTGAGGGGTTGCTTTTTGAGAAGACTAATGCTTTTGAACGGCTGTGCATCCCCAATAGCGAAGAGATTCGTAGTCTGATTCTGGGAGAGTGCCATGACACAGAGGGTCATTTTGGTTGGCAAAAGACGTTAGCCAATCTAATGCGTGCGTATACCTGGCCAGGAATGAAGAATGACTGCGTAGAGTATGTTCGCAGTTGCAAAGTCTGCCAACGTAACAAGAGTTCTACGCGCGCCCCGCTAGGTCTTCTCATACCCTTACCCATTCCGGATCAACTGGGAGACTCAGTGTCCATAGACTTCATGGACACTCAAGTCAAGAGCAGGCATGGCAAGAGCCAAGTCATGGTCATAGTTGACCGATTTAGTAAGTACGCAGTTTTTGTTCCTTTGCCTTCAGAGGCACGTACTGATTTAGTCATACAGAGATTTTTTGACTGTTGGGTGAGTGAGAATGGAATCCCACTGTCTATAGTTAGCGATAGAGATAGTCGCTTTACTAGCCAGAACTGGCAAGAACTCATGGGAGTATATGGATCTAGATTGTTGATGTCGTCCGGCCGTCATCTAGAGACTAACGGTCAGACCGAGCAGATGAACAAGATCCTACAGCAAGTTCTGCGCATGTACATTAGGCCAGATCAAATTAACTGGGATGAGACGTTGCCCAAAGTAGCTAGTGCGTACAATAACAGCATGCGTCTGTCTACATGCCGCACTCCCAACGAACTGCACAAGTCCTTTAGACCGCGCAGACCGTTTGAGGGACTCAACCGGGATCAGATTCACAGATTGCCGCCCGGGACCMGGGAGTTTGCTGTACAGCAYGAGAAAGAACTRGCTAYTGTTGTAGAGAACCTCAGRAAAGCCCAGCATAGGATGATAGAGCAAGCGAACARACATCGTCGCCCTTCACAGTTTCAGGTAGGCGACTTAGTCTGGGTCAGTTCTAAGGAGTTTGCACCTGAGGAGAACATCTCGCAGAAGTTACTGCCCRYATATAGAGGACCGTGGCCCGTTCTAGAAGTCAAGGGCGGCGAAGAYGGACCGTCCTATACCATAGAACTTCCAGCACACCTCCACACTTACCCAGTTTTCCATGCATCGAAGTTGTTACCTTGTCAGACAAGTGATCAGTTTCCATCCCGTAGATCAATGATCCCACCGGATATGGATGGGAGATATGACATCGATGGTAYAGTGGCTGAAGATGTCTTCAGAACTGGAGGTAGGGGTCGTCCGCAGAAACAGTACAAGGTTCATTTCAGTTATCAAGAACCGGAAGACGACCGCTGGTTTACAAGATCTGAACTTCTAGAGACGGCTCCCGATATAGTCCGGGCCTACGAGAGACAGCAAAGGGGTAAAGGTCCTGCCTTGGACTGAAATTTTCTCGGAGGACCTCGAATTTAGGCCGGCGGGAGTGAAACGCGGTGTTCACCAGTTCGCAGTAGCGAATGCAGATCCCAGGGCTCGATCCCTAGTTCCCCGTCTTACCTGTGTACAGTACCAATGTCAACCCGTAGATTTGAACCTGCGACCTGTAGGACCGCCAGTGGTAGGTAGGTTTTCGTAGGTCACAGGGTAGAAGGGAATCGAACTGTAGATCTGTAGGGTAGGAGTCTAGACAGTTCCGAAGTCGTAGTTGTAGGATGTCTGAAGGGTCAAGGTCGTAGCTGCTACTTACCTGAAGGGGCAAAGTCGTAGCTGCTACAGTACCGAAAGGCCAAGTTGGAGGTTTCTAGAAGTGGCCTTTCGGAGTGAACCTGCGTTGAACAGAGGCAAGTGGTCAAGTGGTGGTAGGCCACCTTGCTGAGTCAACAGTCCCAGTTATGCAGTCCGGTCCTGTCCAGCAAGTACCGACTGGGACTGTGTGCACCAGGGGCCAAGGGACACAGGGCAGACCAACACAGCGCAGAAGTATAAATCAAGAGGCTGCGTCCGGCCATTATTCATTCCTGCGGATGCCATGCGGAAGTGCTGCCTCAGCAGCTTGTGCGAGGAGGTCTGCAGTGTGCCCGAAGACGAAGTGGGCAGAGGAGTGTAGTATAGCGCTAGGGTAGTGGCAGCTAGCGCTGCCATAGCTGTAGTAGTGTGTGTGTGTGTTGCGTGTGGTTGCAGAGTGTTGCGTGTGGGACATCCAGGGTGATCCAGAGTGTGAACAGTGAGTTTGTGTGAGGCACACAGTTGCCATAACCAGAGGAAGCGAATTGTTGCTTGGAAGCCATATCTCTGAGTTCTGTGTGGGCGCATGGCGCCAGTTTGCTATTCTGCTGTTCACGTGCATGTAAAGTGTGAATAAGTCGAGTCTGATTGCACACGGAACTGAAGATAAAAAAGAAAATAACCGAATCACACCAAGGCACCCCCCTTTAAACCCCTGTAACCGTTTAACCCCTTTCAAAATAATTTATACCCCCCTTGCCCCCCCTTCAAAGCCAACACTCTAAAAAAGAAAATAGCCTGGATTTGGGCTGCTCTCCGAGACCGCGGAAAACCGCCACCGCCAAATTTTTTAATTTTATTCCTCGTGTCCGGGTATCCCGGGCGTCAGACCCCCCTGGGCATCATGCACGGGTGACCAGCCGGTCATGAAAATCTTCCTAGCTATATAGCATATATTCTTCTCTCACAATTTTTATCTCACTCTACCTACCCCGAGCTATGTACTTTTTTGGGTTGTAGGTTCCAAGTATGCTACCCCCCCTAAGTCTACCATCGAACAACTACCCTACCTCGGACAGGAAACCAGCCTTAAATTTACTGACCAAGACGAAGCTGTCTTAAAGTTATGGGTCTATGCCTATCTATCTCTGCTCTGTGCGGGGGGCAGTACCCAAAGTCCTAACACCTCGCTCGGGCTGGAAAGAATGGCTCAACTTCCACAACCAGCCAGGAGGGACAAGCTGACCTTCTCAGTCGGTGATCCCGAAGTATGCCACACAGGGGGTCTAGGGAAGCGAATGGATGCCGTGGCCTGTGGGGAATGGAACCCACGACCTCCTGTGTACCACTTACGTGCTCAACCAACTGAGCTAGGCCGCTTGGCCTTCTCTGAACCGCCAGTGGCACACTTTTTTCCTTTTTTGGCTGGCACTGCTAGCCATTGTGGTCCGGTAGCCCCGAGCCTCTGCAGTTATCGTAGGCGATTAAAGATTTCTCCACAAGTTCTTGTCACAAGTTAATGTGCTATGTTGGTACTAAGTTTGAAAAGATTTCTCAACCATGTTTGAAGCATGTTCGGAGCAAGTTTACGTTTGTAATTTCTCTTTCTCTCTCTCTCATGTGTGCTCCAATTTGTAGTCATTTGTCGGCATATATGTGTGCTGTTCTGTGGGCTGTGGTGCGCTAAAGCTTGCTGTGGCATGCCCAATATGCGTGAAAAAACAAAAAAGGAAAGCAACAAGTCAAAAACAAAATCGAAATCGATTGTTTTTCATTATTATGAATTCTGCAAATATGATTGTGAGGCAGCATCCCTGTCAAGAGTTGCTGAAATAACGCTTTATATCACTTTTTGTCTCTGGATTTTTCGGAACAATTCTTTGCATTTTTGGTGCGCACACTCCATATGATGCGGATCAGTGGGTTGCACACCGTATGCCGCATGCGTGTTGTGCTCAGCAAGTATGGTTTGTAACTTTGTAGTATTTTGGTGCTAATTTCGTACTATGCTTGTAGTCATCGGTAAGTTATTTGTAGTACTTTGTACTTTGTGTACTATGTGGGTACTATGTGGGTACTTAGTTGGTGCTATGTGTGTAGTCAGTGGACTTGGTAGGGTGAAGGAAATCTCTGGCAGATGATAGCTGGTTTTGATAGCATCGTGGAGACGACAAAAAATGTGTGAAAGATGATCAAACGACTGCTGTTGGATGGAAGATGATGTAGCTATAATGACCGGGTGTTCTTTTTGGGTATCGCCGTATCTAGAGTGCAAGTTGCACCCAATGCAGCTATATAATGGCCGGGTGTTCTTTTTGGGTGAAGATGGGGAAGCCTTGCGTAAGAAAGTTGATGTAAATATATGTTTTAGGATTCTCAATGCCACCAACTCGGATCTCTCAACCATAATGGGCAGAAGCTTTGGAGTCGTGTAAGCATTGCACCTCTCTCTTCTTGACTTGCTGGTGGAATAGGAACTGCCCTGATGCTCCCCAGAATGGATAAGGGGCCAGAACCGCAAGGTTCGGTTTTATGGAAAAAAGTGAAATGGAATTCTCCTGGAATTTGTCTATGTAGCATGTTGTCATGTACTATGTCTGTAGCATGTAGAATGAGACAGTATGGTGCAAGTTTCAAATACAACAAAATTGAATAAATCAATTGTCTCTTCCTCTGTGTGTGCGTGTTTGCAATAGGAAAGAAGGATGGACAGACAAGAATTGTGAGAGAAGGTGGTGTCGGGATTGCATACACGTGGAGTGAAAAGGAGTACAAGTGGGAAAAGGTCAGAGCTTTGGGTCTTTTCCCTTTTTCAATGAATGATTGCAACTGAAGAGCAGCTGCGCGCCTAGGCCGCGGCAAGCAGACGGGGAAGAGGTAGAAAGAGCGTGCGAGGGGTTCTTGTGCATGGGAGGACCTGATGCGAACAGGACAGCAAAGAATAAAGAAAACCACAGAGGGGAAAGAGGTAGAAGGTGGCATCAAACCCTTCTCTCTCTCTCTCTCTCTCTCTCTCTCTCTCTCTCTCTCTCTCTCTCTCTCTCTCTCTCTCTCTCTCTCTCTC